ACTATATTTTCTCCTATTCATCTCAGCATTCATACAACAGGTGTGCCATTCTATGTTAAATTTGTTTTTCTGATGATTACCAGTTTCTACACTAAACCCCAAAAGGAAAAAAGATATAGTTCAGGGAAAAGCACTGTTGAAGAATAAATATTCTGTAATGAACTGTTCACTCCATGTATTAAAAGCAGAATTGAAATACTACCTAGCCATCATTTGATCAGTTCTAACAGTTTCACCTTGCACTTTATCTTTAAAATCGTTAGGCTGTGAGTAGTGAGTCGCACCTGCAATCCCAGCACTTTGGGAGGCCGAGGAAGGAGGATCACTTAAGCCCAGGAGCACAGGAGATCAGCCTGAGCAATACAGTGAGACCTTGTCTTTACAAAAAAAGAAAAAGAAAAACTTAAAAATATTAGCTAAGTGTGGTGGCACACACCAGGCCGGAGGATCACTGGAGCCTAGGAGGTGGAGGTTGCACTGAGGCAAGATCGTGCCACTGCACGGCAGGCTAGGCAACAGAGCAAGAATATTTCTAAGTAAATAAAGAAATACATAAAATAAAATAAAATAAAATCCTTAAGCCAACCTTCATTTATCAACCAGTTTTTAATTCTTCTATTTGTTGGATATCCTAAGGCTCAAATCCTTGGTCTGAATACAGCTAAATTCACTGGGTTTGATCTCAAGTCAAACAGAAATACTGTCATCTCAGCCACAAATGTCACACTAAAGCAGACAGAAACCACTACTAAATCACTACTTTGTCCTAAAATGAAAGTATAATATACTGTTAAGTTATAATAGCTTTTTAAGTTAAGCCTTGTTTTACATTTACAGATAAGTTGCAAAAATGGTATGGGGGAGTCCCCACACCCTCATCCAATTTCCCCAACTGTTAATGTCAACAATACTATGGTACATCTGTTACAATCAGGAAATCAATATTGGCACTATTAACTAAATTCTACATTTTATTCACATTCAACAGTTTTCCATTAATGCCCTTTTTCTGCTGGAGATCCCAGTCGGGATATCACATTACATTTAGTCATTATGTATCATTTTCTCTAGTATAATAGTTTCTCAGACTTTTCTTGTTTTATTGTGACCAAGACATTTTTTGAGTACTGGTTAGGTAATTTGTAAAATGTACATCAATTTTGTTTTGTGTGACTTTTTTCTCATGGGTAGTGTAGGGTATGGGCTTTGAGGAAGAATAACATAGAGGTGAGGTGTCCTCATCACATGGTAACAGAGTACACATTATCAACATGACATATCGTTTATGTTAAATATTGATCACCTGGACTCTGTAATGTGTGCCTCTTTTCACCAAAGTTCTGCTTTCTCCCCTTTCCGTACTCCACCCCTTGAAAGCAAGGTACTAAGCACAGCCCACAATAAAGTTGGTGGTAAGATCAGAAAGGGGAATTAAACTCTATCTTCTGGAGAGAAATGGCTTTTTAAAGTAAATATAAAACCTTTCCAATTTCAGAAACATATTGAGTATTTCAAAGCATTCAGTAATGCAACTGACTGTTCATATAATGAAAGTCATTCTGCTAGGCACTTTAAGAATTAGACATAGTCCTTCACCACAGTTTATAATAAAGACACCACAAGAAAAATGTGAGTTAAGTACTATAGTATGTTAAAAGAAGAAAAAAACAAATTCAATTGAAGTAACCAAAGTTTCATAGAAGTGATATTTGAGCAAAGCACTGAAAGCTGAGTAGAATTCTGACAGATAAAAATAGATGACAAGGCAGTCAAGATGGAAAAAAGATCATAAAATATGGGGGTAGAAAAGAACAGATTTTCTAAAGTCAGTTTCAGACAAAACACAAAGTTCTAGTTAAAGGCCAGAACACACGGGTGCACACAGGCCTGCATGCACACATGCTGTCATGCATGTTCCTTAAGCCATTGGAAACATTAATTTCAAATCTTCAATCAGACTTTTTAGCTTAGCATAAATGAATGGTGTTATGGGCCAAACTGTGCTTCCCAAAATTCATATGTGGAAGCCCTTATCCTCGGTACCGCTGAATATGACTGTATTTGGAGATAGGGTCTTTAAAGAGGTAATTAAGTTTGAATGAGTTCGTCAGGGTGGGCCCTAATCTAATTCGGCCAGTGTTCTTTTAAAAAGAGGCAATTGAGACAGGTTCAAAAAGAAAACGATATGAAGATACCGGGAAAACACTGTCACACACATGCCAAGGAGAGAGGCCTCAGGAGAAACAAGCTAATGACACCTTGATCTCAGACTTCCAACCTACAGAACTGTGACAAGTTTTTGTTCTTTAAGCCACCCGGTCTGTGGTATTTTGTTATGAGAGTCCTAGCAAACTAATATTGATAATTATTTAGATTTCAATAAAATGTAACTTGGCAGAACACCCTCATGTGATTCAGTACGAAAGCCTTGTTACTGAACAGTTCTTTTCGGTTCACAAGTGGAATGAATGGGAGTGTTAGGAGACAAAGTAAGATGGGGTGAAATATGGTGAGCCTTGGAAGCAGCTCTATTATCTCAAACAAAAATTTGTCTCCTATAAGCTTGTCCATTCCAACCCTTACGGCAGTTACCGCTCTAATTATTTACTCAAAAAAGTATGTAATGACTTCATGAAGTTTTTGTAGATCTCCACTGCACTTTATTCACCCGTCTTGTTACCTTTTTTCCTTGACAGCAATTGCTACAATGTGCTGCTCCAAATGATCTAGCACTAAGTAAAAACTTCACCTGCTTTGTTTCATACAGGAGGAAAGCCAAAACAGGAAAGAAATTTAGCGTTCTTTTTAAAGCATGTACTGTACGTAATAAGACTATTCCCAAAGGTTGGAAATTCCACTTTCCAAAGGCGGTAGCTGTATTTCATTGCATCCTCCAGGCAATGTACAGCAGGTGAGTTAAGACTGAGGCGTTCTGCTTTCGGGAGTCCAAGGGCGCCCAGATGTGAGCAGCAAACAGCGGGTCAGGGTCAGACTGCGACGTGAAAAACGTAGCCACGCGCACAAAACCGGGTGTGTCACCTAGGCTCAAAGGGTCTAACATCCTTTCCTTTTTAATTTTTTTTTTTTTGAGACGGATTCTTGCTCTGTCGCCCAGGCTGGAGTGCAGTGGCGCGATCTCTGCTCACCGCAACCTCTGCCTCCCAGGCTCAAGCGATTCTCCCGCCTCAACCATCCGAGTAGCCGGGACTACAGGTGTTCACCATCACACCCGGCTAATTTTTGTATTTTTAGTAAAGATGGGGTTTCGTCATGTTAGCCAGGCTGGTCTCGAACTCTTGACTTCAAGTAATCTGCCCGCCTCGACCTCCCAAAGTGCTGGGATCACAGGCGTGAGCCACTGCGTCCGGCCGCTTTTTCTAATATTGTGTAAAATAAATATCCTAAACAGGAAACACCACAATTTCCCCCCTCGCTTACGTGACCTACAAGAGCAGCGTCAGACTCTTCGCTATCGCGAGAACCTTCGGACTTCCGTATGTGCGCATGCGTCAGGATCCAGCGCCGGAGACCAGCTCAGACTTGGATGACGGGCAGGGGAGGGGAGAAAGAAGCCGAGAGCAGGCGGCCACCGAGGAGGTGGAGCCGCGGCGGAGCTGGGCGGGGCGAGGAGTGAAACAACATAGGCCCCGCCCCTCGCGGCGCGTCCCCCGGAATAGCGTCATCAGTTCTATAAGAGAGCAGGCGCAGAAGGCCTCGGCCTTTCACTTTCGGGAAGCGTCGGCGTTAGGTGATAGCACGCAGTTGTCTTTTGTAAGTTAAAATGATAATTGAGCCAAAACTTACAGCCTTACCTGAAAGGCAGCGCAGTCAGGATATTGGTAGGTCGGGGACAGCTTTGGAAACCCTTAGGTTTACAGGCGTGCGTGGACATGAGTGCTCATTAGGTGGTGGGCTGGCGGCCACGTGCAGCCCAGGAGCCTGAACCCGGGCGCGCGTGGGCCGTGGGCCCTCGGGGAAAGGCTCAGTGCACCCGGGGACTCCGGTGAAGCGTGTTTGGCCGTCGGTGTCATGTGGCCATCTTGAGTCTAGTCGCTCTTCGTGCCTTAGCACCTCGAGAACCGTCAGTTTGCACCAGATGGTGAGTAATATAATCTGTAGCCGTTTGCTTGCTGGTTAACTCTGGATTGTGAATCTCCATGTATCTTTGGGACCTGTCAGCTGTGGCAGTCTCCCTTCCTAGCCATGGAAGAGCATATTCTTGTTTATTGGCAAAGCTGTCACCATTTAATTGGTATCAGATTCTGACTTGCACAAGTAACATTCTTCACTGTTAAAAACCTGGAGGGTGCCGGGTTATTGGGCAAACTTTTCTAAACTGTTGTTAAATTGTTCTAGGAAGCTGAACTGAACACATTACGATGGATGATGGAAACATGAGGTACATTTCTTTTTTCATATTCCTTAGTTAATCTGAAATGCCTTAGTGTTAGGACGCTGGAATGCTAAAGTTGGCCCGTTTTGCTGGCTTTTGTAGTTTAACGGTTAACAGCCAACTGAATTAACTGATAAGATCTCAAAACAGTGAGGTAAGTACACAGGTCTGGGTTTCATAATTTTTTTTTTTCTCTTTTTGCAGACTCAAGAAATCAGAAGTGGTAATGGGTGAAGTCTATTCAGCATCCTGCAATGGATTTATCTTAGTTGGTGAAACGGATGTTTCGAATGGTGTTGTGGAGGTTATCAGGACGCCCATTTTCAATATAGGCCTGAATGTTTTAACGTAATATTTAAGGTGGTCCTTAAATAAAATGCATAATTTTATGTGGCTACTCATTGTTACTTGACTGAGTGATTAATAGATGGAAAGGTATTTAATAGCAAGCAGAATACTTCCTAATGTTACCCACTCATGTGGAAGTAGTGTGAGTATAGTTCTAAGGTTATTGCAGCCTTTGTGAAAAATGTAAAAGATAAAAAGGACTAGGTTACCCCCAAGGGAGACAGCAGAGTCTTTCTAAACCACACAAAAAATGCAGCTATACAAGGTGAAAAATTATGTACTTTATTTACACAAAGATGCACAGAACACTTGTATCTTTCAAAAGTCACACTTAAGACAGTTGGTTATAATAAAAGCATGCTATATGAACCATGTATTCAGGGTTGAGTAAACTGCAGGCTGTTTACTGCCTTTTAGGTTTATTCCCTGATTGACTTGAAACATAGATGTTGCTTGCACCAGCACCTGTAGTTTAATTACAAGGGCAGCCTGTGAGAAAATTTCAATAGATTTCTCACCTATATTGCACATTCTTCCCAAGCCCTTGTGCAAGTGTGTGCCATGTGTAGCTCTATTTACATGTAAATGCTGCTTTAAAAGTTTATCAGAGTCCTTAAGTTTTTACAAAAGTTTTTAATGCTCTGCATTATATGCAGCGTTGCAGGTCTGCAAAGTAGTAAAACTATAAAGCACCTTTTGGTTTGCACCACTTATTACAGAAATGGGGATTTGTGAAAAGGATGTAATTTGATGTAGAAAGGCAAAGTCCTTATGTGACTGGCATTCAAGAGGATTACTTAAAACCATCTGAAAGTTCATGCTAACCTATATATTTATACGAGGGACCTGGGGAAGTATCCATGACATTGAAGTATCTTGAGTGTGCCTTTTAAATATGAGCATTACTGCCGAGAATGTCCTATAAAAGTGCATAGTTTAATTCTCTAAGGGTTAAGCAGCCATCCCTTAACCCTTAGGGAAATAGCCATAGGGAAACAATCCTTAGGTGGGAGAACCATGGGGAAAAAAATCCAGCATTGGGACTCCTTTTTCTGGAGTTATGAATCAATGTTTTACCAACTGGTCTCACTTTGAGGTAAGTCTGTTTTCCCCTATTTGAAAACTAGGGCTGCTGCTATAAGATCCTACTGGCCTTTTGCAAATTGTCAGTGATGTGCATAGCCATCTAATGTAGTGCCTGGCATACAATTGCTTGTGCATTAAAACAATTTAAAGCTACTATTCCAGTGTAAACGCCAGGAAAGCATTTTGACTAGTGTATTTTAAGACTGGATTGTATCAGGTTGGTCTGCAAGTGACTTACAAGTAAGTGTCAGTAGGTGGCACTCTTAGACCAATTCTGAGTTAAATCTGAAGTGCTTGATAAAAATGAATATAGTAGATACGTTAATGTGTTGGATAAACTAGGCTGTATGTCCAGCTGGCACTTCGTTAACCAGAAATCCTTTCAAATTTTGCTAGTAGTTTATACACTGTAGGCAGAAAATATTTTATGGTTTTTGTAGCGCTTGGTACTTAAGGATACTGGTTTCCAAAATATAAAAATGACCTTTTGTGAAATGAGCACAGAATGATTTTGAGAAAACAGGCACGGATAGATGAGACTTAGAATAAGTCACTCCAGTGAAATTTGGGTAGACAACGATGCTCATTTAAGGGTTATCACTATTCGACTACAATGAGTCTCTGAAAATATTCACAATACAAATTCTCACAAGCAGCAAGAGGTACACAATTTTTTAAGCACAAAACAAAGCAAAAACACAGATCTCAGTCCCCATTTGTTGTCATCTCTGCTGAGTGCTAATGGCGGGGGTTCAAAGTTTTCCATCTGTTTAAATGCTTCTTTGAGGTTTCCATGAATTACAGTTTGGTGACACTTTTTATCCAAGGTACAAAGGCTGAGACTTTGGTATAAACACCAGGAGAATCCTTGACTCCACAGCCATACCCCCAGGAGGTCACTCCATACACCACCCAGCTCTCTCCAGGCCGTTCACACATGAGCGGTCCTCCACTGTCTCCCTGGCAGCTGTCCACGTGTTTGTGTTCATGGAGGTTTCCAGCACAGAGCATTCTCCCTGTAAACCGACCCTTATAACGTTCTTCACAAAACCTCTTAGGAAGTAAGTGTATGGCTGCTTGTTGTAGTGTTCTTGAATAGGCTTGTCCTACTCAAACCAAACATCTGATTAGTGGCATCTGAGCTAACCATCACAACATTTTAACAGCATGTAATAGTAATGAAAATAAAATCCCTGTTGTGGCATTAGTGTAAAATGAGCAATGACTAGATGGTATGTACTATTGTTAGCTGCCTTTTTTAACGATGACACAGTCTTAACCTCTACAAATTTACTTCTCAGTACTGAACTGAAGAATAATGAATAACATTTGGATTTGTCTGTGAAGGAAGGTGACCTAAAGAAAGCACATTTCTGCAGGCTTTCATATTTGAATTCTGTATATTTAAAAGCATAGAATGCATTAATGCTGGTTTTGCATTAGCACATCCATTCATATTCATCTACTTCACTGAATTTGAATTCTCGGTTTATGAAGAAACTGAGTTCTCAGTTCTCAGAACCAGCAATACCTCCGGAATATGAATCTCAATTACATGCATGCATTTCACACTAAGCAGAATTTCTCCAAATAAGCCTGAGCCCATTTAAGATCTTACCCATTACAGGCCCAAATAAGTGGATAATACCAGACAAAAAAAGGTGCCTTGCTTTGTTTTTTTGTTTTTTGATTATGCATTACCTGTGTCTCCCCATCCTGTTATGTAACAATTGGATGCTGTCTTCTGTGGCCTCTCTCTCCAGAGTGGTAAACAGGCTGGCAAAACGTGGCTGTTGAATCTGGCACATTGCTCTTCTGGTCCTTGTAATCTAACCAGGGCTATGTCATAATCACTGCTGTCAGGTCGATATTCCCGATGAATCACAATCTCTTGAACTCCAATTTCTTCCTCAAACTCCTCTGGTACCAGAGTATGATAATCCCCAACCCGAACAGCATAGTTCCTAGTGCTGTTGCCATACCTGAGAGGCAGAGAGTACTAATGAGAAATTTGAGCTTCAGATACTGAAAATTACCCATTGTCAAGAAGGAAGACTAATGAAGATAAAAGCCTTTCTTCCAAATCATCAGCCCTTTTGGAAATTCAACCTTTCTTTCCATTTATCTGACCCAATCTAGGTTGCTGTTTTCCAAGGAGCACATGTGGAAGATGAATGGAAAATACTAATCATTAACTATCATTTCCCAAATGAAAAGGGATCAAAACAGGAACAAATAGTATAGGTCAAAATCATTGTCCTGTGTTTGCCATTTTTGTTGCTCTGTTATTTCCAAGATTGTTAGTTCATCATTAAGCTCTGTAAGGGCAGAAACTGTCTGATCTAACTTCGTATCCCTCACAGTACTTAGTACAATCCACTTCACTCCTGCAAGGTAGACTTAAACTTGTTCCCTTCCCTCTAAAGTGAATGCAAATCCAAACAATACTTTCAGATCAACATATTTTCATTCTATCCTTTCACCTCTTAAATCTTTATTCAGATGTCACCTCAGTGAAGCCTACTTTGACACCCTCATATTTAGAGTTGCAACCCATCTTTCTCTGTCCTCCCAACACTCCCAATATTATCTGCTCTATTTTCCTTTTTTAAGCACCACTTTCTAAAAACTAATCTATTATGTTTATTTTCTCTCCTCCCTGTGTTAGTAAAAGCTATTCCAGGTCAGAGATCTTTTTTGTGTTCACTGATGAATCTAAAACACCTAGAAGAGTGTTGTAACCATTAATTAGGAATGCAAAAAAAAAATGGTTTATTTAGTTAGTGAATAAATGTTTATTGTTAATGTATACTTTTTTCCATGAGAAACTTCAATTAAAATAGAAACACAATATTTACTAGATGGATAGTTCTCAGTCCACTTTTCAACGATCACACTTTAATTCTGATACCTAACACACCTAAAGAAGGGTTTCTCAACCTCAGCACCTATTAACATTTTGGACCAGATAATTCTCTGTTGTGAGAGCTGTCCAGTGCATTACAGTGTGTTTAGAAGCATCCCTGACCACTATTCGCTAGATGCCACTGGTACATGGTACACACACCCTCCATCCCCAGTTGTGATTGATTGCCAAAAATGACTCCAGACATGGTCAGATGTTCCCTGTTAGGCAAAGTGCCCCTACTTGAGAACCTCTGACTCAGAATGTCTGACCCAACCCATCTCCTGATTACTTCCTCTTTCTCACTGTGGACTACAGCACCATGCTCACTGCATTCCAATACTTAGAACATTCTTAAGACTTAATTTCCAATAACTTTCGTAGGTCCCTGACTTACTATCTGCAGTGTATGTCATCTCCACCTCATCTCAGCAACCCACTTACAACATAAGACCTACAAATTGTATTCATCAGATAACCACATACCTCTGAAATCTTGTTTTCAAGCATATTGTATTTCTGCCTTCTATTTTTACAGCTCTAAAATCCTTCAAACCCATTGGACTTCTATCCTTTGGCCCCACTATTTCTTCATTTCAGTCTTTTATGACTTCCCTTATTATCTGGCTTGGATTCTACCATCTGCCCATTAACAATAATCACTCTTGCAAAACTCTACCCTTACTTGTCTTTTACCTGCCAAAACTCCAGCCCTGGTTTCATCAACTCTACCTATTTTGTATGGGCATCTGTTAAACAGGGAAAGCATGCATATGACAACTGTCACTTTAATTTTTTTTACCGGAACTTGACTCATTCATTGTTTACAAGACCTGTAATTGAATGTGAGCTTAGAAGAGTTGGTATTCAAAAGCTTGGCATTTTCTAGTGTCTATTTAAAGTAAAACTTCCCTCTTCTATAAAAGTACTGAAGGTTATGAGATGCCTGAATATTCTAATATCCTTAAGTAGTGCTGTGACCATCTTGTATATATAATTAGCTGTTAGCACTCCAAAACAGTTCAACAAAGATGATTTGGCTTATACAGCCACCTACTATTGATCTTTAATACTAATAATCTATGATTTCTTGAGACTCTCAATCTTAAATCATCACACACCTTTAAAGTTCAGAGGCTTTTTAATATATTGTGCCTAAAATATGTGCTCTTACCGCTTCTACTTCAAAATTTAAGTAAAATTTAGGATTATTTCGCATACTGAAACTATAACAATAGGCAGTTTGACCTGTTTGAGGTATCTTTTTCTTTTTCTTTTTTTTTTTTTTTTTT